CTAGGGTCTGCGTGCTATCTACGAAACTTAAATGAAAAAATCATTGCCAAATAAGGAATAGAAAATTATGAAACTTACAGTTGTAAAATCAATGCTATAGAGCATGTGGTGAAAGAACGTTAAATTCTAGATCATGCAATGAAAGATTGTTAAAGCTCAGGATTAAATAATGCTCAAATATCCGTATTTCTTATATGTAATTTAAAAAAAACGAGATCGTTTTTAATTACTTCAAAATATATAAAAGTCACAGATTTTTCCTCTGTTAAAAATTAAAAATTTGTGAATAAATCATTCGATTGAAATAAATGCTATATATCGCATTACCTATCTGAATTATATTTTACTCGCCATTTCGAATACTCCTAAATTAAAACTGCCTCTGTCCTTGCGTTACAAAACTGTAATACTAGTATAATCCTAAAAATATTAACTTTTCACGCTTCTAGTTTTTTAATACCATGGATCATAATGAATATATTTCTGACAACAATTCGTATACTGACCCTTATATTGATCCTCAAGCGGACTCCTTTATTGATTCTGATAATGAACTTCAAGATAATAATACTGACTTTTCTAGTAATGAAGCCGAAAAAATAACCAATGATAAGAATGATGAGCTTTCAAAAAAAAAAGGTGTGAAAAAAATCAAAGTAAATATTACTAACCAGGATGACAAAAGACCGAGCTATGTTTGGGATTATTTTAAACTTGCAAATGGTCATGTAACTTGTAAGATATTAGTATTTAAGAAAGGAGTTGAGGAGGAATGTGGAACAAATTACAAGTATGATAGTGGAACCGGTAATATGCAAATTCATCTTCGATCAAAGCATAGAATCTTAGGACCTAATGATCTAAAACCAAGCTCAAGCGAAAAAATCAATTGCATATTGACCAAATGCTTAAAAAGATAACCCCTCATAAAAGACCCAAACAAGCGGAACTAAGAAGGATTACAGCAGAGTGGTTAGTCACAGACTCTTTGCCTTTTAACACCATCCATGAAGCAGGCTATAGAAAAATGATAAATAGATTTGACCCAGCATTTATACCCCCAAATAGCAAATGTATTAAAAAGAAGCTTACTATTGCCTATCAAAGAAGTGTACAAGAATTAAAAGAATTAATTATCACCACATGTAAAACCGCCTCAATAACTACAGACCTATGGTCATCCCGAAGTAATGACGCATACATTGGTGTAACTCTTCACTGGCTGACATCAGATTTCGAAGTTCGAGATGTGATATTGGCTGTTGAAAAGTTGGACTACCCACACACTAATGAAAGAATTAAAGAATATTTGGATTAAAAAATTACAGAATTTAGATTGACTGGAAAAATAGTTTGTGCAATATCTGATAACGGAGCAAATATGAAGAAGGCCATTAAAAACTGGAATGGTGTGGAACGTCTCGCTTGCTCGGCCCATACACTTCAACTTACGGTAATCTGGGCTCTGAAAACTATCAAACCATATATCAAAAAAGTTAATAAACTTATTAAATTTTTTAAATCACCAAAGCAAAGCCAACGTCTTGATCAAGTGCAAATTGAATTAGCTCATCATAACAGTATTACTTCAACCCCTGTTCAATTATGCGACTTAGATGACTTGCCTGAAAATTTACCATCAGAAATAGAAACTGATGATAATGAAAATTCAGAAAAATTAAAACAAATACTAAAATTTTGCGCACTATTAGTGAAGTAAAAACCAGATGGAACTCAAGCTACAAATCCT